AGAAATCAACTAATTTTAGCATACATGCATTCATGAGTTGCAGAAAGTTTATGATTTGCCATTAGTATCGTAGTCATGCGGGCTTTTTAGATTAACAGTTTTTTCTATTTGAATATTAGGAGCGTTGAATAAAGTTTTCCCTCTGTTTCTTGGATTATGACTAATTTATTCCATATTTGGAGTCTATGTTTTTGACTTTTGAATAAACATATCCAGTAACTAGTAATGTTTTCGTGGAGATTGATTAACAACTGGTCATCAGGAGATTTATAACCCTTTCTGTGCACTGCATTTTCTAATATCAGGAGCTGGATATATTTTTTCTGGAAAATATTATTAGTTTTCCATGTGATGGGTTAGAATCTTGAATTTTAAGTTATGGATATTTACAGTGATATTCGTGGTGTTGCTGTTGATGGCGTTGAGGGGGAGCCTGTCAACCTCACTGAACCTGTTTCAGAAGCAATTGGTGCTGCTTTTGCTTCATGGTTGTTGGACAAAAAGAAACCAGTTGGATCCAGATGCTTGAGGATCTCTGTTGGTCATGATTCACGAATATCTGCAAAGACTTTACAGGTATCTTTGAAAAGTTTCTAATTGAGTTAGCACTGTGTCGAACCTTCTATTGTTATTATCAGCTCTTTTCTCCTGTGATTTTACTTTTCTAATCAATAATGTGCATATGATCAAGTATCTCATAAACTGTAATTATCATAGTTAAACAAGCATCCGTTGTACCATGGACAAAAATGCCAACTAACCATATTTTGTTGCAAGGAGGATTCACTATTACAGCATGAAATAATTTATCTTCCCATTTCTCACTTCGTTTAATTTCTTTTCCCCCAAAATTTACTCAGTCTTTTGTATAATTTGTTTGCTCATTTGATTTCACATAAGCATACTATTTTTCCCTTCTAATATTCACAAGCAGCATCTTGATTGGTAAGTGCATGTTCCCAAACTTCATCTTTGTGGTCTTTCTTTTGTATGTTAAACTTTTCCAGTATTCTTCTGTTTTTGTGATATGCCGCCATTCACCTTTTTCTCATTTTATGTGTTTGGCTGTTGACTAGATATAAGTAACTTTTCCTGCTTATGTGTTTTTTATTACTAGGGTTCTTTGTGGTTGCAATTGTAACTACAATTACAATTTGTAATAATTATAGCTGCAACCACATCTGTTCTTTTTAAATTTAGTGCTTGCAATTGCAATTATGCGGGCTGCGGGCACCAAATAACCTCTTTTGTTCATCTCATAGACACAATTTTCATAATGAAGCCAATCCTACTGTGATGCTGTTTCAACACACAAACACTAAGGTAGCGCAGTTATGGTCATCCAATTGTTGTTTCTTAAATTAGCGTCAGAATTGTTGTTGCATACAGGCATTTTTTTTATGGCAACAAAATGTTAAATTCATGTATTAATGCACAATAACTGAATAACTGCTAGAGAAATGTACCATTTAGCTGGACATAATACTTTTGACCATATTAAATTGTTGCATGATCTTCTGGACACTTAACCCATTTGATTTGTCTGTACACATTCTTGTGGGTTTACTTAATGAATTTTCTTAAGATGATGAGCTGCTTTATTTGATTGAAAATTGCTTGGTTTTGGAGTTCGTTTTAAGATGCTATACAACAACTAAGTTTAAGTCATGTTGATGCATTGTTACATTTAAAAATTGGACTCTTATATACCTTGTTTAATCCTGGTTGTTCACCTTCCAGGATGCAGTTTCTCGTGGAATCGCTAGTGCAGGACTTGACGTCATTCATTATGGGTAAGTATAATATGCCATTTTCTTGGTAGTCCTTTTTCATATTACATTTTTAATAAAGAGAAGAAAATACCTCATAGAAGCTATTGTGTTAATTTGGGCACTCAAAAAAGCCAAGTGGAATCTGTATCCCAAAAAGATTGCTAACAACGACTGATTCAGAATTTTATTTAATTTGTCCAACTGGTTAAATAACTTTTATTGGCGAGTATAGACTATAGAGTTTTAGGTTAAATGTTTTTTTTGGAAGCACTCTAGAGACAACGTTTATAATGTGCTGATTTTTCCTTTTTATTTGTCTTTCACAGATTGGCGTCAACACCAGCAATGTTCAACAGCACTATTACGGAAGATGAAAATTTTATTTGTCCTGCTGATGGTTCTATAATGATAACAGGTGATGTAGAGGAAGAGTTGAACAAATTCAATGTGTTTGTACAAGATGAAGCACCAATTATTGTTTGATGCTACGAACTAATGCATCTTATTCAAACTTTTACAACTATGTATTCCTCCAAAATAACTAATTGCTACGATTTGAATTTTGATCTGTATTTCTCTACAAGTAATGCATAAACATATTTTTGTGCAATATGAATGTGCTTTTGTGTACTATCATTGTAGTCATGTTACCCTGACATCTGCTATTATTTACAGCCAGTCATCTTCCCTATAATCGCAATGGTTTCAAATTTTTCACTAATGCTGGGGGACTAGGGAAAACAGACATAAAAGACATCTTAGAGCGTGCTGCAAATATTTATCAGAATCTGTCAGCTGAAAGTCTGAAGCAATCTGAGCAGGCTGCTGCAGCAATCGTGAGAAAGGTGGATTACATGACAGTTTATGCTTCTAATCTTGTTAAAGCAGTTCGTAAAGCTGCAGGAGCTATAGGTATGTTTTGATCTATGTATATGAAAGTATCCTATGGTGTATAACCAATTAAATTGCTGATAAATTAAATCTAGTACTCTGGTTTTTTGCTTCTTGTTAGCGACTATAGGAGTTTCGCCAGTTAAAAGGGAGTCGTTACATTTCTTGATGTGTAATTTTGATTTCACTGATCAGTGTGCACCATCATCATTGCCATCACCTTATCACCTGATAACAGGCTCACACAATGAACTGCAGAGGACATTGCTCCATGAATCTATACTTCTATATCTATATCTATATATACCTAACTAATTATAAAAGAGGTTTGCCTTGTCAAAACTTTTGAACGCCCTTTTTGCCCTCTCAATTTTGATAATTCACAATTATGCCCATTATTTCACTAATTGCCCATAACCTCTTATTGGCTATGCCCTTTCAATTAGTCCTTTAATAATTCATAGTTATACTATTATTAATAATTATACTTATGTACAATAATTTATTACATAATTATTTTATGCTATTGTATAAAATTATAACATAATTTATAGTTGATATTATTATTATAAATTATTAGTTAGATTTTAATATAAACGACATTTTTTAAATTAGGAATTATCAATTAGTCCTTTAACAATTCATAGTTATACTATTATTAATAATTATACTTAAGTATAATAATTTATTAAATAATTATTTTATGCTATTTTATAATTAATAAATATTTATAGTAAATTATGGCATAATTATAGTTATTATTATTATAAATTATTAGTTATATTTTAATATAAATGGTATACTTTTTTAATAGTATTCTTTAAATTAAGAATTAACAAGATTATTTAATAATTATATTATTAAATAAAGTATTCAATAATAGTATAATGACTAAGTTATATAATTATTAAATAAATTATTTAATAATATTATCAATTATTGTATAACTATTAATTGTGCAAAAATAGTATAATAAAATAATTACACACTTTATTAAATAAATACACTATTAAATTACTTAATAGTTATCTATAAAAACTTTTAATAAAATTAATTTAAAACCAAGAGTAAATTAAATTACAAGTATAATGTTATAATCTGATTATAATAATTCTCCAAATTATAATAACTATTCATATTATTTTTTATACAATACAATTTTATTGTATAATTTCATTTGTTAACACAAAATTTTAATTGTTAAGTTTTTGAATTTGTATTGTTACAAAAGACATTTCAAATTTTCCTCTCAATGAAAAACTTCAAAATTAAAAACAAGACCACGTGCAAAGTACGTGCACTATACTAGTTATTGAAAATTTGTAACCCACCACCATTTCATCCTCTAGACTAAGAGAGTTCAGAAGAACGGGGAAGCTATAGGCAAAATGCATTTATGCTTTAACCTCTAGCTATAGATCTCGCCTAAGTGCCTACTAAAGTACATCTCAGTGATTATGATTGTTAAAAAACAGTTGACTCACTTTCTGTCATCATTGACTGTCAGAGAAGCCGCTGGAGGGATTTCATATAGTTGTTGATGCAGGAAATGGAGCAGGCGGTTTCTTTGCGGTAATTTTACTTCCATTAGTTATACAACAGGAACAGTCATTGCTAAATAAACAATTCACTATGTCCATGGTCATTTGTAACTAAACAACTTTTTTTTAATATGGAAAACAAGTTCGCTTGGAGTTCTTCAAATATGACTCAGCGATTTACTGTTTGTTGTTCTGCATGGGATTTGCCCTATAACTAGGTTGAGTTTTCTATCTCAAAATGATGTTTGTTTTACAGGGAAAGGTGCTTGAACCTCTAGGTGCAAATACTTCTGGAAGCCATTTCTTGGATCCAGATGGTAGTACCTGTTCCACTTTATACCTCTTTGCCTATGTCACATAGACTATATGGTGAACTATTAACCGTGACGTAAAGGTATATTTATGCTTTAATGTTTGAATGCACCAGGTATGTTTCCAAACCATATTCCTAACCCTGAAGATAAGACTGCAATGAAAGCTATAACCCAGGCTGTACTAGAGAATAAGGCTGATCTAGGTATCATCTTTGATACAGATGTTGACAGGTGCCAGTCATATTTTATCATCATTTTGATTCCCATTAACTTAGTAGTTGATTGTTCCCTTGATGAATGTTTCCTTTCAGATCTGCTGCTGTAGATTCCAATGGACGAGAGTTCAATCGCAATCGACTGATTGCTCTTATTGCCATTGTTCTTGAAGAGGTGAAGTTTAGAAGCCTGCTGGAATTCAATGGAGCTACAACATAACTTCCGCCATTATAATTAACTTTTATATTTCCTCATGTGTTCTTGCAAACAGCATCCAGGAACCACTGTTGTTACTGACAGTGTAACTTCAGATGGCTTGTCTACATTTATTGAAAATAAGCTAGGTGCGTTTTGATTTGGATATTGTACCATCTCAGAGGTCAAATCACCTAAATTTATAATTTTATTTGGAAAGGAGGGAAGCATCATCGATTCAGAAGAGGATACAAAAATGTCATTGATGAAGCAATTCGATTGGTGAGATTATCTTTACACCAACCTATTATTGTTCACTCTTTCATATGACCTAAACTCTGTGCTTCTGGTTGAAATTTCTTTGTAGCCGTGGTTTTAGAAGTTATATTCACTATTAGTCATTCTGAAGATTTGAAATCTCCTGTCCCTAAGCCTTAACGACAATCATGCCCTTATTGTTTCACATGCGCTATTGCTTTTGTATAGCAGCTGTCGAGTGAATTGATTCTGCAATTTGTGGCTTTTGAAACGATAACTCTTATGCATATTTCAATGAAAATAAACATACTAATTAAACATTATGCGAGCTAGAAATCTAATAAACAAAGGGACAAAGTTCTGATGTTTGATTTTTTCTTTTTTTACATTTGGCAGAGGATTTGTGCAAATAAACTAGTTTGCATCAAGTTAGGGAAATATATCTTCCAAGCTGCAATAGTCTTTTAGACTTGTGGTTTGGCAAATATTTTGTGTGAAGTTGCAAGCTAGTTGTTTCCGTGTATTGCAGACGCGGAACTATCTAATCTTTTTTCCCCCGCAGAATTCTGTTGGTGAAGAGTCACACTTGGCTATCGAAACTAGTGGTCATGGAGCTCTGAAGGAGAACCACTGGCTTGATGATGGAGCATACCTCATGGTAGGATATTGTTGGTCACTTAGTCGCATACTGAGACTGCACTCTAAACTTTTGCCACCAGATGGGAAGCACCTGGTGGAAATTTCTTTTCTGCTAAATTTCACTTTGCTTGATATAGTTTAGTTTCTTTCACTGCATGTTCATTGTATTTTCTTTGGATCTATCTACTTTAAAAGTGTCTTAAAAGCACTTGTTTTCACTAAGAAACTCTCTTCTCTCCTTCCAGATATATTGAAAAGTTTAGGGAGGAGAAGGTTTTAGTCTTTGGCCAATATCAACTGCAAAGAATTTATCTTGTAAATATATCTCCAAGGCTAAGCATGTGTATTTATGCAGGTCAAGCTATTAAACAAACTAGCTTCTGCCAGGGCTTCGGGTGCAGGTACTGGTAGCAAAGTTCTCACTGATTTGGTGGAGGGACTGGAGGAACCTGCTGTTGCAGTGGAACTCAGGCTGAAGATAGACCAAAATCATGCAGATCTTAAAGGAGGGTAAATGCTATATGTAAACAATTTTCTTTTCCCATGAGCGAGTAAAGACATTGTCTGCATTATTGTCCATCTAGTACTGGCCTTTAATCTTAGATTATCTTTCTTAACATGAGACTTGGAATAGCCCTTTTCTTTTCTAGACTGCTTTCTAGACCATAAAAAGTTTACGATGAGAAGGTTTCTATCTGCCGAGTGTTGCATCGTTTTATTATTTGACACAAAACAAGCCTAGCACATGATCTGTCTTGGGGATTTAATGGTTACATTTGAATGTGCAACTGGCAAGAATTATATGTATATAGTAGTTTGTCTCTTTTGTTTAATTTACTATTCAAATTTTTTCAATAAACTAAACTTTTCTTGTTAAGTGTTCAGTTCTTTTATATTTCCTCTTCTGTTTCAGATCTTTCCGTGAGTATGGGGAGGCAGTTCTGAAACATTTGGAAAACGTGTCTATTTCCGATCCGAAGTTACAGAAAGCCCCTGTCAATCATGAAGGGGTACGTTTATTATTCATTGAAACACTTTTATTTGATCAACATATACAGACTGGTATGGGCATTGTAAGTATCATAACTCATAAGCTATCGTATGAGTTGAGGTTCCTTAAGATTTTGGGGAACAATTTAGTGTAGAGATCATAATGTGCGTGTTCAATGCTAACTTTGAGCATAGTGCCACTGCCTTGAGATCTTAGCTTCCTTTCTTTGGCCAATGCTAACTTTGAGCATAGTGCCACTGCCTTGAGATCTTAGCTTCCTTTCTTTGGCTCACGATTTCAGGCTTGTTAAATGTGCCCATGCCAAAATGATGATGTTTACCTAAATGATTTTAGAAACCTGTTAATTCTACTACCATGCCTGTCCATGCACCTGTATGTGTAAGCATTTGTTGTGATTTCTGCATCATTTTGTGCCTAGGTTTGAGAATGAAGTACAACCATTTTTTAGAATTCATAAGACGTGTCAGTACATCATTTCACCACCCCTTAATGTTATATTAACCAATTTTAGGTCTATTTGCAAAAAAAAAAAAAAAGGTTTCTTTCCATGAGGGTAAACTAGCCAAAAGAGTATACAGGGGGGTCTATCCGCAATTGGGCAGCTGTACAAAGGCTCTATCTGCAATTAAAACATATTAATTTAACCGAGGAACAATCATCAGAATAACGGTATGGAGAATATGGTTTCATATATCCTATCTGGGATATTTTTCTTTTCTTTTTTCCCCCCAAAGCAAGTTGGAGGTGAAATTTCCTTTTCCCAAGCAAGCCAGAGATGAAATTTCGCTTGAGATCAGATTTTATGTATTCAGGCCCCAAATTAGCTCATATTTGCATTTCTTGCGTGTCTAGGTTCGAGTCTCAGGCTGTGGTGGGTGGTTCCTTCTTAGATTATCACTTCACGATCCTGTTCTTCCCCTAAACATTGAGGTGAACATTCTCTCTCTTTTTTTTCAAAAGCCAACGTTCAGCTATTTCTTAATTCAACAAAGCTTTACCTGCAAATATTTTGTTCTGTGGACAGGCACCAAGCAATGAAGATGCTGTGAAGTTAGGCCTTGCCGTTTTAAGTGCCGTTAAGGAGTTTCCGGCTCTTGACGTTTCAGCACTGACCAACTTTGTTCAGAAATCCTGAGTCTTTTCCATGGACAGCATTTGATATAGGCCCACTTTGGTTACTTCCAGTTATGGGATAGGATGTGATACTACTTGTTTACAGATGTAACAAGACTTTTTATGCGTTTACAAATTTGAGGCTTTTAAGTGAGGCTTGGTGATTGTAAATTACTATTTCGTCAAATTTTCCCTGCTTAGTTTTCGTCTGAAGAGGCTCAAAACCTGTCAATACTTCATTGCGCCGGGAAGGGGGTCATGGCACTTTTATGGGAAGATTGGTCTGATCGCATTCTTCACATGATACTAATTTTTTTCTGAATTACTCTGGCTTTGATAAACGCATGGGACCAAAATTCTTGTTCTGTCTCTCTCATTCCGTATGCAACTGCCTTCAGTTCAAGTATGCCAATGAGGGCGGTCCGCAGCATTACTGAACTTTGTGATGCGTGTGCTGATCCAAGTGTTGATACTCCTTAGAAACACAAAAAATATCATTGACACGGGTGTACATGATGAAGTTCTATTGTCATGACAGCAACTTTTATTCAAACCAGCGCAATTAATATTTAAAATTGTGATGACCTATGGTAGTATCTGGGATGGCGCAAGGAAGAAGTACAGGATATTGTAGGCGACAGCCACAGAACAAATCTAATGTGCGTCATGATCGGCTGCCTGTTTATTATCTACTCTAACTGAACAGGGCGTCATTTTATTCTTTAATAGATCGGACCGGTCGCCATTCAATTAACCCTAATTCAACCCACAAGTACAATAACGGAATCGCAGAACTTATCAAAATACTTTTGACACTCCAAACTGTTTTACGACCATCCGTCGAGACATTAAATCTAAAGATTTCATCTTTTTCCCCCTTTCTTATTCTGATGTTTGTTGATCTAAACTCTCCAAATTGGAGGGCTCTATAAAAAAAATTTATATGGAAGGAGTACCACTAATTAAATTCCGACGGGAATATTATTATCTTGGGTTATTTCAATATTAGCCCCTAAAACATTTCATCTTCTGAGATTAATCTCAGAAATCATATTGTTGGCCCTATACTTTTGATGATGATTTGTCAAACAATTTATCGCTAATCTATTCTCTAGTTTTTGTTGTTCTGTTTTTCCCTTTACAGGTAACTCAACACACGACAATCAAGCGTTAAAGATTCAAGTTCATGTGTGTGCTTTCATCTAGGTAGGCCTGTCCATCCGGGCCGGCCCGGCCCGAAAATCCGGGCCCAGGCCGGGCAAAACCGGACCCGGACCTGGACCTGGGTACCCTGGGCCGGGGCCGGGTTCCGGGCCGGCCCGGGTTTTTTTCTTTTTTTTTAATTTTTTTATCAAATTTTTAAATTTTATTTAAATTTTTAATTATAAAAAAGACAAAATAAATAATAAAAAATAATAATTTTATTAATCACTTAAAATGACATAAATTACAAATAAAAAATTATAAAAATAAATTCTTTATTAATAATTAATAAATTATTTACAAATTACAAGTATAAATTTATTTTGGAATTCATCGCATCACAATAGATAAGTACATCCCAACTAGGTTGGCACCTACTCACCTATATCACTATCATTTGTAACTATTTCCAAAATAATTCTTTACAAATTTTAAGCTAAGATATAAAAATTACAATTTGATGAATATTATTTATTCTTTATATCTATCTGCTAGTCCTAATTCTTCAAATTTATCTTCAATTCCAGCCATCCGATCGATGCCTTGCGTTCGCTTCTCGTACCTCCACCAATCTTGTAAGCACATCACCGCTTGTACAGTATACGGATCTAAGCATGTCATGTGGTCGTCGATCAAACGTCTTGCTGTGCTGAAGGCGGATTCCGAAGCTACCGTCAAAACCTGCACTGTTAGTAAGTCACGAACCATGGTGGAAAGTATAGGATATGAAACTGATCCATATACGTTCCACCATTGCAAAATATCTAAAGCATTTCCTTGACATCTAACTAAAGAAGCAGAAAAATATTCATCTATTTCAGAAACCTCCGATGATGACGATCCAAGTCCAGATCCACCAGTTAGCTCAGCTACCATTGCATACCTATAAAAACTTACACTTTTACCTCGGGCTCGGGATGAGCTCGAAGAAACCGAAGCTGCAGACTGTTGTGCAGCTACACCATGTCTAGCTGCATACTCATCATATAAAGTTTGAAAATAATTTCTAATAAGTAAATGATGAGTAGTAGCATTCAGGGTGGTTCCATCATCTAAGTCTATAACCTGTCCACCATACAATGACTGTAACAAACTTCGAAGGCCAATATCCTTCAAGCATGGATCAATAAGAACCCCCAAACCAAAAATATGAGGAATAGGCCTAAAGTACTTATTAAATTTGCTCTCCATTTCAAAAACCATAGGTCCAAAAGTAGCATCCAAACGATATTGGCCGCGGGCTGTTTTGGACAGCCCTACACCTAGGTATAAGTTTAGTTTGCTTACATATATCGTATGTTTATATGTAAGCTCAATATATGTACACTTAACACAATTTTGACGTTTTCTATCAAATAAATGATTTCTCATCAAAATTTGTTACAATAATTTTTATTTCATGTTTACAGCTCATTCACACTTCTTTATACATATATAATATATGCATGTTACATATATACGTTTTAACAAATCATATCTCAATTTTTGTGTTCACGAAAATACAGGTTTTCTGAACACTTCAAAAACAGGGAGTTTTCACAAACAAGAATTGATTTTCCAAAAATTCCTTTTCAAACATGTTTATTTCATCATTTAGAAACTTCCCCTAAAGTTTTACTATTTTTGGAATTGATTTGATATTTTTAATGTATTTTTAAAATCTGCCCAAAAACCTGTCATATGACATGTATCAGTTTGCGGTCGACCGCCACGGTCGACCGCCAGCAGCAAACTCTCTTAGTATGATTCTTATGTGCTCGTGGTCGATCGTGACGGTCGACCGTGAATCCATTCAGAGACTTTCGCGGTCGACTTTCGCGTGTTAGACCCTAGAGGGGGGGGGGGGATTAGGGGCTTATGCTAATCTAATCCGATTAAATGCCAATTAAAACTAATTAATAAGTTATCCTAGCAAGTATAAAATACAACAAGATACGTAAGCTAGGATAAGCAATATGAACAAATGAATATATCCTATCAAAGAGATATTACAAAAATATGAGCAAGGATATATGAATTAACACAAGGGTAAAATAAACAATCTACACAAGTAATAGGGTAATATGATGAGCAATACACAAAGGCGATATAAGATATGAAAACAAGAATAAAAACGCCAATGCAATCACAAACAAAACGATATGTTTACGAGGTTCGGTCCCCACGACCTACGTCCCCGCTCCTCACCTCGAGGAGATCTCCACTATCACAACCGGGTTTTCTACGTTCACCCGAACAACGTTTACACCTCACAATACAATCACTATGTAATCACACCTCACACACTAAGTGTTGGTCCTAGCCCGTGTCCTCCTCCTCAAGTGCTCGGTTACAACCTCTCCCTAGGCACGTCAACCGACGCCACTCCTCTTGGATTCGACCCCGTCTCTCACCACACACTTCTCTCGGTGTACAAGTGTATTACAAGTGAATCCTCACAATAAGCACAATATAAATCAAATGATTTGTTCTCTAAACAAGGTGAGAACTCAATTAAGCACAACTCTTGGTCACAAACCCACAACCCCAAATTATACTATGTATGTAAATACAATAAGCTCAATAGGTTGTGTGTGAACAAAGAGTATCAATAAAACAATTAAACTCAATATATAAATCTAGCTTATGGAAATTAAGATCAAAACAATAAATAGCTAGAATTGAGTTTAAGGAAAACTTCTCTATAGATCAAGAGTGAGAGAGAGATGAGTTGAATGCCCAAACACCAAAGAATGATCTCCTCTTTGCTCTTGTGAAATTTGCTTCACAAACTAAACTCAAACAAACTCTTAAACTCTTTTAAACAAAACTTAAACCCTTGATTAAAAACTTTCTTAAACTTGTTTTAAAACTCTCTTGGCTAACTTGAAAAGACATCAGCAATGGGGTATATATACCCACTCAAAGCTCAGCCAAAAACCCCAAAACGAAATGACCAAAAACCCCAGCAAACAGCTCAGAGAAAGAGCCGTTAAAAAGCAACGGCTATATTGTCGGTCGACCGAAAATTCCGTCGGTCGACCGATGGAAAAATTCGGTCGACCGATGGAAAGTTCGGTCGACCGTTATCCAGGTCGAAAACAGGAAATCAAGCAAACACTTATCCGGTCGACCGGTGCGGTCGACCGATGGAGCTCTCGGTCGACCG